ACACACACACACACACACACACACACACACACACACACACAGAGACGTGCATCCCAGCAGCTCAGATGCCCACACAGTCCAAGTTGCACACACACACTCAATCATGCTCATATTAAGGCTGCAAACACAGGGCCCTGGAGATGGGGAGGGGTGCAGTGCCCTGGCCTCCGTTCTCAGAGGCCTTGACCCCCATGCGTACCAGAGACCTCCACCTCCACCCCTGACCCGAGTCCAAAGCCCAATACTGTCTCTTGTGGGATGTGTAACAGCCCAGGTGCCCTCCACCACACAGGCGCCCAGCCAGGCCAGGAGTCCAGTGGGATGTAAGGGCAGCTGGAAGAAAGCCCAGGTAAGGCACGGGGCTTGAGGCTGGGCTGGCCGGCCTCTGGCCTCACCCACAGGGTCAGAAGAGCAGCCTAGGAAGAGGCAGGACCTTGCTCCGATGGATGGTGGTGAAGAAGCCTTGGCTCCCTCACCCCAGCTCTCACTTTAATGTCCCCGGCCATTATTGCTTTTCTCCCCGCAATGGGGCAGACTGCTCTTGCCAGGCCAGGGGACAGGACGTGAAGGCGGCTGTCTACTTGGAGTGACCAGATCTCCAGAAGCGGCCTCCATATTGAAGAGCAGTACAGGCAGCTGCCTGCGTGGTGTCCGCTCCGCCGGTGCTGAGAGCCCTGACTGCCCCACAGCCCACCCAGGGGGCAGGAGAGGGACAGGCCCGAAGGGGAGACTGCTGAGTTTGGGTGAAGACTGAGGAGGAGCTGGAAGTGGAAGGGGAGGGGGCGAAGGATGGGGATACAAACCAGAAAGGCAAAATATAAAGTTTGTTTTAAAAAGCCACTCAGGTGGCGGGCAGTGGCGTGCGCGTATCCAGAGGTGGCCACAGGGAGGCGGCGTGCACGTGTCCGCATGTCCCGCGTGCAGGTGTAGGTGCGGGCGCTCACTCACGGATGCTGGCTGAGTAGGAGAACTGGGGGAAGTGCGTCCGCTGGTCCAGCTCCAGTGAGCCCAGGCTGTCATCTGTGGGGTGAAGGGGTGTGGTGGAGACAGCAGACCTGCAGAGGCCCAGGGTACCCCCACCTCCCAGGAGGGGTGAAGTCCCTTGGGCAGACAGGGGAGGCTGTGGCCCTCTGCAGGCCCAGCTTGCAGAATGAGGTACCGTTCCCTGGGATGTTCTGCAGGTCAGAAGGCCTGGGCCTGCCTGGGTGTCCCCTCCCCTGGGTCTAGCTCAGAACTGTGGTAGAGGCTACCACAGCCTGGGGACCTTCAGCCCTGATGCTGTCCCCCTTCCTAGCTCCCAGGCACAAGGTCTCCATTAACCCTGGAGTTCCCATACCAGGCCCCTAATGTATCTGGCCTGCAGCCTGTCCCTAACTTACCCCCACCCTCCGCTGGCCATCCCTGGGCTTCCAGGCTGCCCTGAGCTCCCCCGTGGACTCTGTCTCCAGTCCTAGGTGGGCATGGGAAGGCTGCCAACGTGAGTCCTACCAGCCCCACCAGCTCCCTGTGACCCTCCCCAGACCAAGGAAAAACAATAGCACCAGGCCTTGCAAAGAGAGCGCAGGGCCTGCCAGCATGTGCTGGGTGCAGCAGTGCGGGGCCCAAGGCACTCACAGCGGTCCGGGGGTGTGATGGTGATGGACTGCGCGGTGAACTCGTCATCGAAGTACCTGGTGTCCACCTCGGAGGTGACCTGAGGTTTGAAGGGTGGCAGGAGCTGCAGAGAGAGGAGAGCACCCCAGACTCAGGAACCCCAGGTCCCCAGGAACAGGCAAGGCCTTGTAGGGTTCCTGTGGGGGGGCAGGCAAGGGGCGCTCACCTTCTTTTGTACCACATCCTGCCAGTTGATGGTGAGGAAGAACCTGTGCTCCATGACCTCCTTGGCATCGCTGGGCCCCCCACCAAGCCTGGGCAGAGACAGCCATGAGCTTCTGCCTCCGGGAGCCACGGGCTCCAGGAGCTGGGCTTGCAGGGCCCCAGCCATGGACTGGGCGAGGCTTGGGGTCAGAGGCAGGGAGCTCTGACCTAGCACTGAGCAGCCTCCCAGCTGCCCGCGCCCAGGCTTGGTAAAAGGAGGGGTCAGGGCGGGCTTGGCATGTGGCCTGACCACAGACAACTCAGCTACCCTAAGCAAGACTCAGTGTCACAATACAGCAGTAGTCCAGGGGCAGGGGGGCATGGCTCAGGTGGTACAGCACCTGCCTAGCAAGCAGAAGGCCCTGAGTTCAAATCCCAGTATCACAAAATAAAATAAGTAAAAGGCAGTGCAGGGAAGAGGCTGAGGGCAGAGTTTGCCGAGTCCAGGTGCAGCGGTGGGGCCACACGCTTGGCGCAGATGACTGGGTGTGGCTGAGGGGACAGTGGCAGCTGGTGGCTTGGGCAGGACGGACACCAGCCCTTACCTCTGCTTGGGGTCCTTCTTGAGCAGCCCGGCAAGCAAGGACTTGGCCTCGGGGCCGAGCGTGCGTGGGAAGCGGATCTCCTCCATGAGGATGAGCTCGAAGAGGCGCTCGTGGTCCTGGTTGTAGAAGGGCAGGCGGCCGCACATCATCTCGTACATGACCACGCCCAGCCCCCACCAGTCCACCGCCCGGCCGTAGTCGTTGTCCTCCAGCACCTGACAAGAGGCCAGGGAGAAGCTGGGGGCGGGGCGGGGGTGCGGCTCTGCCCCATCACGGTCCCTGTGCCCTGAGCTGTGTTCCTGTACCCCCAGCCCCAGGCACCTCGGGCGCCAGGTACTCCGGGGTCCCGCAGAAGGTTTTCATGGTGGCACCATCACTGATGCCCTCTTTGCATAGGCCGAAGTCAGTGATCTTGATGTGGCCATCTTTGTCCAGCATGAGGTTCTCCAGCTGCAGGAAAAGTCCAGGTTATCAGGGCTGGGGCCCGGGGTGGTAAGTGCCACATCACAGGCTCCTGGGTATCCATTTCCAGAAGCCAAGATGGCCACAGCACACAGGCGTGGCCCTGTCCCTCTTCCTGGATGCTTCCCTTTCTGTGCTTCTGTGCGTCACTCACTGGGATGACAGGCGTGTGCTACACGCCCAGCCACTGGCCGAGATGAAATGTCTGAGCTGGCTTTAAATCCAGATTCCCCATTGCTGCCACCCAGGTAGGCAGTATGACAAGCTTGAGCCACTGCACTGCTCATATTGTTTTTTTTTCTTTTGGCCAGTTCAGAGGCTAGAACTCAGGGCTGGGCACTGTCTCTGAGCTTTTTTTTGCTCAAGGCTAGCACTTTACCACTTGAGCCACAGCACCATTTCTGCCTTTTTCTGTGTATGTAGTATTGAGGAATCGAACCCATGCTAGGCAAGCACTCTACCACTAAGCCACATTCCCAAACCACATTTTTCTTTTAATTATGAAACATACCAGTGGACCACAAAGGAGATGTCTGTGTTTGTGCAACCCCATCAGGTCAAGGACCTGAGACCCATATGTGCCCCACTACAAGTAGCTGGAACCTTCTTTGTCTTCATAGGCTTTTTCTTAAGAGCGGGGTGGAACCTAGGGATTCAATGCTAGCCAAATGCCTGCCCCTGCCCCAAGCTACCCCTCAGCCCTCTTCACATGTGCAGCGCATGGGCTCAGCTTCCGCTCACGGGGTCTAGGATTTCTATTTGTGCTGCTGGGTGGTGTGTGCTACCTGGCATCCTGCCATTCTCTGGCAGTGGGCGCTGGGGCCGGTGTGGGAGAGTATAGGGTGCACCCAACGAGCAGGCACCTTTGGTGCTGGTGGCTGGGCTCACCTTGATGTCTCGGTACACCACGTCCCGAGAGTGCAGGTACTCCAGGGCTGAGACGATCTCTGCGCCATAGAAGCGCGCGCGGTCCTCCGTGAACACACGCTCCCGGGACAGGTGGAAGAACAGCTGTGTGGGCAGAGGCGCGCTCAGCCAGGCACCCCAGCCCTGCTCCACAGGGACCAGGGGCCAGGCAGGAATGGGGATATCAGTGTGGAGGGGGGACGGGACAAAGTGAGCAGATGCTCATAATGTAGTGATGCAGTTGGTTTCTGGAGCCCCAAACACAGCTTCCTGGCACTGCCAGCTGCCCAGCGCCACAAGCCTCAGGACCCGGATTTGGTTCTGTCCCAGCTCAGAGCTGTGTGCTTGAGGCAGGCAGGCAAGAGGCACTGAGCAAGCATCCCCCCACCCTGCCGTCACCAGGTGTCCCTCTGTCGCACATGCCCTGGAAGGCACGTCGCAGGTGTGGCCAGCTCACCTCCCCTCCGTTGGCATATTCCATCACGAAGCAGAGGCGGTCGTGGGTCTGGAAGGCGTACTTGAGTGCCTGCGGGAGGGAGCAGGGCAGCTGGGGCAAGAAGGGGCACAGGGAGGGATGCCAACCAGGGATGGGTCTGCCCATTCCGCACTAGACTGCTCAGCCCAGGACCAGGCACAGCCAGGGCAGAAGGGACATTCTCACCACCCGGAGCTTTGCCACCAATTCACTCCTCTGCTTTAGTGGCAAAATACACTAACCGTGCTCTTTCTCTCCCCACCTTCCTCCATCCAGACAGACAGACACACACACACTCTCTCTCTCTCTCTGTCAGCTAACTGCTCAGGAGCCCTCTTGAGCCAGGCTGATGGGCAACACTTGGACCGCACCTGCTTCTGACAGTATAAAGTCAGGGCAAGGCACACCTGCTCACATGAAGTTGCCCACTATGGAGATGCTGCTCCCCGCTCCTCCCCGCCCCCCGTACCCAGGGGGTCCTGATGCCTGGGAAGGGAGAGCCACTCACGGTGAGGAAGGGGTGCCTGGTGTTCTGGAGGACCCGGCTCTCCGTGACTGTGTGGGCGACTTCATCCTGCAGACACAGAGCCCAGGTGAGTGACCCAGGGCCACGCCTATCCACACGGTGCAGTTCAGGCAAGGAGGAGCTGCACAGGTAGCAGGAGCAAAGCAAGCTGTGGGAGCCCTCAGCAGGGCGATGCCAGACTCGGTGCCCATGGCACCGTCTTAAAGTCAGAAGTGTAGAGCAGTTCTGTTAGTCGTGATACTGAGGCTGAACCACGGGGCCCGATGCTCTACTACTTGAGCCACACCACTAGGGCACATAGCAGTGTGGGGAGCATTAGCGGGTCTCTGACAGCCCCAGGCTGAGGTCCAGGGGTGCCCACCTTGGCAATGATGACCTCCTTCCGCAAGATCTTCATGGCATAGTAGCGGCCGGTGGCCTTCTCCCGCACCAGGATGACTTTACCAAAGGTGCCCTTGCCCAGGAGCTTGAGATAATCGAAGTCATTCATGGTCTGCGGTGCAAAAAGCAAGGCGCATCAGCACCCCACAATCAGCTGGCAGGATGTGCTGACCAACACCACCCTCAGCTCTGTGGCTACAGGCCCAGGCTCCCCTGCCTCTCCAGCACCCACAACCTGGGAAGCCAGCACTCACCACCTTGGCCCGGGCTCGGCTGACTGCCACATCCATCTCCTCTGGTGTGGATGAGTCGCTGGGGGAGCCACATTTGTAGTCCATCGAGTCCTCACCTGGGCCCCGCTGCTTGAGGCTGTTGGCGACCATCTGGATGGCCTGCATCCACTCCTCCCTGTGTAGGAACAACGAGGTGAGACCCCACTCAGCCCAGCCCCGCCGCAATGCGCTTGCAGACTGCAGAGCCCCTTTGGGCCTACAGAACTGATGCGGCCCGATGGGCACTGCACAGGCCCCTGCTGCACAGTGGGGGCAGTGCAGGGAGGGCATAGAGCTGAGCACCTCTTTCCCAGAAAGGTCCGTCCTGAGGACCCCTGGAAGCAGGTAACAGAAAGGGTCAGCGGGGGCAGCTGGTGCTCATAAATGCTGACACCATCCTGAGCCTGAGGGAAGGCCAGTGCTCCCCTGAGCTCAAATTCAAGTTTACTAGTTATCACTGCTCAGCAAAGGAAAACCAAGAATAAATGGAAGCATTCAAGCCAAGCACTGGTGGCTCACGCCTGGAATCCCAGCTATTCAAGAGACTGAGATCTGAGGAGCTCAGGTCAAAGCCAGCCTGGGCAGGTAAAGTCCATGAGAACTGTATCTCCAATTAACTAGCAAGAAGTCAGAAGTAGAGCCTGGGGCTCATGTGGTAGAGCACCAGCCTTGAGCAAAAAAGCTAAGAAACAGCACCCAGGCCTTGAGTTCAAGCCCCAGAACTGGCACAGGGGGATTTTTTTTTTTTTAAAGGAACCATTCAAGAGCCAAAGCAGCTGGAGGACTCGCGTGTAGGCACAGCCCGCCAGGACACCAGGATGGCCACAAATGGTGGCCCCAGCAGCAGCGAGACTGCTTGAGAACCATAAGCTAGCTCTGACACTCATGACTTCAACGTTGCTGGGAGCCAGGCACTGGTGGCTCATGCCTGTCATCCTAGCTACTCGAGGCTGAGATTTGAGAATCCTGGTTCGAAGACAGCACAGGTGGGAAAGTCTGTGAGATTCTGATCTCCAATAAACTACCAAGAAGCGAGAAGTGGTGCTGTGGCTCAAGTGGTAGAATGCCAGCCTTGAGCAAAAGACACTCAGGGACAGTGGCCAGGCCCCGAGTTCAAGCCCCAGGACAAGCACAAAAAAAGTTGCTGGGAAAGAATTTTCTTCTGACACTAGCAAACTGTTCTAACAAGGTCAAATGACCAGAGACAAAAAATACATATGTATGTCAGGCTGAACAACAGCAAACTACCTACAACCCTCATTCCTCACCCACTGTGCTATGCTGGCCCACGAGGGCAAGGATTTCCATCTGCTTTGAATGTGGTATGCCCCCAGGATCCAGTGGGTACTCAGGTACGTGGGCAGACATACCCGTGAGGCCCAGGGCCTCTGCACAGCGAGGCCCTGCAGAGCTGCCTGCTCTGCCTGAGTGGCACCGCCTCTTCCCCACCGTGGCCTGCAGCCAGCATTGCTCAATTGGCTTTAACCCATGTCCCCTTTGGATAACTCACGACCTAAACCCATCCCTGTATTAATGTTCCTGTTTTCCAAAAAGCAAAAAAGTGAAAGGAGGGAGGGTGGGTGGAATAGTAACATGGACCATGAACAGTCTATTTTATCTACCACTGTTTTCTTAGGAATTATGAAATGATGACCTTGAGGGTAAAGTGGTTGAAAAAAAAAATCACAACTCTCCTAACAGGAAGATCTAAGAAGAGTCTCATTCACATACAGATTCTGAGATGGTCCCGCAGAAAAATATCAGGCCACACAGGAGCCTGCTGACCAAGGGTGGCAGAGCACCACACAGCTGGGAAGCAGCTGGGGGGTGCACAGTAGGTCTGCAGTGCAGCAAGCACCCCTTCCTACTCCTGCCTTTAGGAACTAGGCAAGACAGAAGCAAGCCAGCACTCCAGGGTGCAGCATGCAGTCCAGTGGGAAATCCCTGGTTTCACGGAAGACACTGGATGGGGCTCAGACCTGTCCCCCCATCCCTACTGGAACTGCCGGCCACAATAAGAACTCAGAGAACCCACCAGGATGTAGGAGGTGGGGGTGATTGTGCTCTCATCTTGCCAGCCACCAATCCAGTTCCAACTGGACTGAGGCTGTAAGGTTTCAGCACTCAGAATTCCAGAGAAAAAGCAAGGGCCTCTGTCCCGGACACTCCTCCAGGGCTTGCAACACAGTGTCTGGGGCAGAGGGGAGCTCCCACCCAAAGCTGCAGCCTAACTATCTCCAACAATCCCCCAACTCCAGACTGGTCCCCAGGGCAAGTACTGACCCCCCCCCACCTGGCCAAAGATCAGAAAGCCATGGCAGTGAATGGCCAGTTCCATTGGCCTCACCCTGGTCATCAAGAACACTTTATAAGAGTGAAAGTAGGAGAAGAATGAGGGAAGGGGCAACAAGTTTGACAAGAAATAGACTTATTACCTTACTTATGTAACTGCAACTCCTCTGTATACCACCTTGACAATTAAAAAAAAAAAAATGCTGGGCACCGGGTGGCTCACGCCTGTAATCCTAGCTACTCAGGAGGCTGAGATTTGAGGATCACAGTTCAAAGCCAGCCCAGGCAGGAAAGTCCGTGAGACTCTTATCTCCAATAAACCACTAGAAAACAGGAAGTGGGGCTGGGAAGGTGGCTCAGTGGTAGAGTGCTTGCCTTGCATGCCTGAGGCCCTGGGTTCGATTCCTCAGCACCACATAAGCAAAAAGAAAAAAGCCGGAAGTGATGTTGTGGCTCAAGAGGTAGAGCGCTAGCCTTGAGCTGAAGAGCTGAGGGACAGTGCCCAGGCCCAGAGTTCAAGTCCCCATGACCAAAAAAAAAAAAAAAAAAATGCTTGAGGACATTTTTTTTGTTGGTGCTGTGGGTGGTTGTGGGGCTTGAACTCAGAGCCTGGAAGCTGTCCCTGAGCTCTTGCTCAAGGTTGGTGCTCTACCACTTTGAGCCACAGCTCCATTTCTGGTTTTCCGGTGGTTTATTGGCAATAAGTCTCAAGGACTTTCCTGCCCAGGCTGGCTTTGAACCGTGATCCCCAGATCTCAGCATTCTGAGTAGCTAGGATTTACAGGTATGAACCACCGGTGCCTGGCTTGAAGACATTTTATTTCCACCCAGCTGGCTCTCAGGGGGCAGCCTGGACCCCCTTCAGAAGCCACCGCATGGCTCTAGGCCTCCCAAAGTTCAGTTTACTTGTCTGTAAAAAAGAGCCTCTGGGCTCTGCCACATAGGGGCTGTGGGGCCTAGATGAATCCTTGAGTCTGACACCTCCTCAAGTCTGGGACTCTGTGAGGGTCAAACCCACCTGCTGTTCCTCCCACAGGCCTTCCAGGTTGGATGCCCCTCACTCCTGCTTCCCAAGGGAGTGGACAGGCCACAGGTCTGAGGCTCACTCTGCTCCCACGTCACCTTACTGACCCATCTGCTCACGGCCTAGCCTTGCCCTGCCAGGGAGGACGGGGACCCCCACTGCCCTGTTGGGATGGACAGAGTAGGTACTTAGCAAAACTAGAATGCTCGCATAGAAAACAGCTCAAACTCAGCCGGGCTCCATCGCTGTGCTCGCTGAGCTCTCCCTCGCCCCCTAGCTGACTGGGGTTCCATGGGGAGCAGAGCTTGTGCTCCCGAGTGGGTAGCTCATACCCCAGGAGCCTCTGCCATCAGCCTCTAGCCCAGGTCTTGAGGAAGACCTGCTCAAACCCTTCACTGGCCACTCACCACCCTGTAAACTGGCTTTCAATCTGAGGACATTTTGGCAAAACTGATGAAATGCCGCCTGTGGCAAAGCCAGCCTGTGCCACAGCCGCCGGGCCCCTTCTCGCCCAGCAGCAAGCGTCTTCTGTGAGGCAAAGCCATACCAACTGAGAACCAGTGTCCTACAGGAAATGACCCTTATGCCTGCCACAGGGCCTGCCACTACAAAGCAGTGACAAAGGATGGCATGGAAGGTGCCAGGTCCCTGCTGTGTATATGCAAGCATTAAGGGCACAGCAACGGGTGAGGTGGACACTTTGCCTCTATTTCAATGCAGGAGTTATTTCCACCTAGACAGGAGGTATAGGACATGGCCAGAACCCCCAGCAGTGTGGTGCAGACCTGGCACTTGGGTGTCCCAACCCAAGCTCTACGGCTCATGGTGGGTCCCAGGGCATATCACCTCACCTGGACTTTAGAGATCGAAGAATATGGTCCTAAGCCGGGCGCTCGTGACTCACACCTGTAATCCTAGCTACTCAGGAGGCTGAGATCTGAGGATCATGGTTCAAAGCCAGCCCTGGCAAGAAACTCTGTGAGACTCTTATCTCCAATAAACCACTAGAAAACCAGAAGTGGTGCTGTGGCTCAAGCAGTAGAGTGCTAGCCTGAGGCCCTGGGTTCGATTCCTCAGCACCACATAAGCAAAAAGAAAAAAGGAAGTGATGTTGTGGCTCAAGAGGTAGAGCGCTAGCCTTGAGCTGAAGAGCTGAGGGACAGTGCCCAGGCCCAGAGTTCAGGCCTCACGACCGGACCCCAAAAAAAAAAAAAACAGGAAGTGACGCTGTGGCTCAGGTGGTAGAGTGCTCACCTTGAGCTAAAGAGCACAAGGACAGCGCCCAAGCCCAGAGTTCAAGCCCCATCACACAGACACACACAGACACACACACAAGCTGGGCACTGTGGCTCACACCTGTAATCCTCATTACTCAGAAAGCTGAGATCTCAGGATCTTGGTTCAAAGTTAGACTGGACAGGAAAGTCTGTGAAACTTATCTTCAATGAACCACCAAAAAGCTGGAAGGGGAGTTGTGACTCAAGTGGTAGAGTGCTCATCTTTAGTGAAAAAGCTCAGAGACAATGCCCAGGCCCTGAGTTCAAGCACACACACACACAAACACTCTCTCTCTCTCTCTCTCCAGGACATAGTTCAGTGGCATGTGTGCTTAGCATGTTTAAGAATCTAAATGTGACCCCGGGGGACCTCCTCCAGCTGGGAAGCACACTTATGGCTGGGAACACAGATGGCCCTGGCTGTACAATCTTGCTCACAGAAGATTTAACTATTTTCATTCATCTAAAAGAGAACTGAGTACTGAACACCCATTCATGTACCAGGCACAAATAAGCAAATATAAAATGCCAGACTTGGTGAAC